AAAAAAAAAAAAACCCTGAAACAGTCTGGGTGATGCAAGAAGCATTCAGGTGAAAACCAATTATTGCCATAGCCTGTGGGGTGAAACATCCCTTGCATGCACACGAGATCCCTTTGCTGGAGGGAAGTTGTGGTAGGCATGTGATGTCCAGATCACAGATACCTTCCGTTGTCTCAGGCCTTCCTTTGCAGTTGAGCCACATTTTCCCTGCATCACGCACATTTTAAGCGATGTCCTATTTGCATAGGTCTCCTTCCCCAGGCTGGGCGAAGCACAGCTTATTTCCTGTTCTGTCTCAACTCGCAGGGCCTGACTGTCAAAATGCTGATCAAGGAATATCACATCCTGCTGCCCATGAGCCTGACCGAGTACCAGGTGGCCCAGCTCTACATGATCCAGGTAACAGCAGTTCTGGATGGGATGAAATAGAAAGCGCAAAGCTGATGGGGGGTCTGTGTGATGGGGGCCTGTGGCTTGCAGGAGCCCTGCCATCAGCCAGGTTGGCGGGGCCAGAAACTGGCAGGGATGAGGGATGCAAGAGTGTGAGCAGGGTCGAAGGGTGAGAGGTGTTTTGGGGCCCAGGCTGAGCAGGGCTGGCTCTCCTGCTTCCCAGAAGAAAAGCCGTGAGGAGTCGAGTGGCGAGGGCAGTGGGGTTGAGATCCTGTCCAACCGGCCCTACAGCGATGGCCCAGGCGGGAGCGGTCAATATACACACAAGATCTACCACGTGGGCTCTCACATCCCCAGCTGGTTCCGTGCCCTCCTACCCAAGGCAGCTCTGCAGGTGGAAGAGGAGTCCTGGAACGCCTATCCCTACACCCGTACCAGGTAAAGAGGGTGAACCTTGGGAGGGAAAAAGACAAGGAGCCGGGAAAGTGAGGGCTGAAGAGACACAGCTGTCCTACAAGAAGAATAGGTTTGATGCTGCAAGCTTGGTAGGGCAGAGCTGTCAGTTTCACCCCTTTTCCCCTACAGATACACCTGCCCCTTTGTGGAGAAATTTTCTATTGAGATTGAGACCTATTACCGGCCGGATGCTGGGAAACAGACCAATATCTTCAACCTAAGTGCTGTAGAGCGCAGGCAAAGGATTCTGGGTGAGAATTCCAACATGGAGCAGTCTATGATCCTTTGTGTCATATGGAACATTGTGGAACATTTCATTGGACATGCTGAGCAGCTAAGCATTGGGAGGGTGGAAAAGGTTAATGAGTGGTATCTGATGATATTTTTGGGGACCAGGGTAAGCTAACTCAGGTGATCACAGAATTACATACATCTAATTCATGGCTTCTTTTGTGCCTTTCCTACAGGGCAGGGGTGCACAAGCCCAGGTCTAGGGGCCAAATCTGCCCCTTCTGAGGTCTTAATCTGACCCTATAGAGTTCCTCAAATGACAGCATACCCTTTCTCTGACCCCAACCACCAATCCCAGCATTTGCATGTTTCCCTGCTACCTTCTCAAAGGTTGGAATGTCTCTCCCAAGAATTAGAGGCTAAAACTAAGCTAAAATATGCAGTATGTGCATGCCCACCCCCCAAATGAGACCCCCAGGTCTCATGGAATTGGTCCTTCTGGCTGGGAGAGGTTCAGCACTCCTTCTGTGGGTATTAGCATCCAGGAGACGAGGATGGACTTCTGCTGGCAAGAGAGACGGGAAGTGGTGTTGATGAATTGAGGAAGGGGCAAAAGCATATATTTGCTGAGGATCTGAACAAGCTGTGATGCAGAAGGGCAGCTGGAGACTCTGAAGAAAGGCCCTTTGATGCTAATGGAGATGAGTGCATACTTCCCATTCAACTTCCATCCCTCTTATCCACAGACACCATTGACATTGTGCGGGACCCCATCTCACCCAGTGAGTACAAAGCGGAGGAAGATCCACGGCTTTACCACTCAGTCAAGACAGGTCGTGGACCTCTGGGAGACGACTGGCTGGAGAATGCAGCTTCTGGGCCTTTCATGTGTGCTTACAAGCTTTGTAAGGTGGAGTTCCGCTACTGGGGCATGCAGTCCAAGATTGAACAGTTCATCCATGATGTAGGTGAGCATGTAGGGAATGCCGTCCACCTTACATTCCTTCCAGTCATTCTGCACTGAGCAAGTGGTTATGGATATGACACAATAGAGGCAAGACGAAATAATGGTTGACTATTATGCCTAGACATGGTTGATGGGTGCAAATTGTAAGACGCGTGAAATGCTACAATCTTATCCAAAGTGTGCATGTTGATAAATAGAAGTTCTTAATCACAAATTAGGAGTAGAACCTCTCTTTCCAAAAAGATTTAGGTGAGCAGTCTCTGCAAATTAGCTCCTGGGAGATACTGAATAGATACCTAACTTACACAGCAATTTCCAGTAGCAAAATTAGGAAAATGTTCACTGCCTGCTTACTTAACCTTCTGTCACTGCACATTAATGCCGTGCATGACCAGGATGAAGGGTTATGGGATAGGCAAGGGCCTTCTGTAAAGTGTTTATGCATTCCTCACTTCATGATTTGAGCACAGAGCTGTAGATATTTAAAAATGTCTTCAAATTGGAATCATCATCTGTGAGAATTTTTTTAAACCAGCTAGAAGTTGACTTGATAGAAACTTCATTTGTTGTTAGTTGCGAAGTCATGTCCGACCCTTCGTGACCCCATGGACAACATTCCTCCAGGCCTTCCTGTCCTCCACCATCCCCCGGTGTCCACTTAAGCTCACACCAACTCCCCCAGTGACTCCATCCAGCCACCTCATCCTCTGCCGTCCCCTTCTTCTTTTGCCATCTATTGTTCCCAGCATTAGGCTCTTCTCCAGGGAGTCCTTCCTTCTCATGAGGTGGCCGAAGTATTTGAGTTTCATCTTCAGTATCTGGCCTCCTAAAGAGCAATCAGGGTTGATCTCCTCTAGGGCTGACCGGTTTGATCGCCCTGCGGTCCAAGGGACGCGCAGGAGTCTCCTGCAGCACCACAATTCAAAGGCCTCAATCCTTTGGCGCTCAGCCTTCCTTATGGTCCAGCTTTCACAGCCATACATTGCAACTGGGAAAACCATAGCCTTGACTATACGTACTTTTGTTGGCAGGGTGATGTCTCTGCTTTTTAGTATGCTGTCTAGATTTGCCACAGCTTTCCTCCCCAGGAGCAAGCATCTTTTAATTTCTTGACTGCAGTCCCTGTCTGCAGTGAGAAACTTCATAGAGTGGGGTTATCATTTGGTATGTTAAGAACAGGAAGTCATGCTGGGAAAGAGACTGACTAGACAGAAACTTAGCGGAAGCAGCATGCTTAATTTGTTTACCATTATGTTGTTTAGTAGTTGCCCCCAGTGACATGAGCTGTTATAGTGAAGATGTGCTGCCTTCAGATAAAGGGTAGCTCCAATATGTCAATAGGTGATTAGGTTTTTTCCTATTCTTTACTCATGGATATTTCTTACAAAGCCTATGCAAATCGTGCATTTTGTCTTCGGCTTGGTTCAGCCTTACGGCTAAACTATGGATCAGCCCCATTCTTTCCCCTTCTCCCTTTCATACATAAGTATAAAAATAATAATAAAGTACACTCTGCCCCCTGCCACAGTAAAATGGTGTTAAAAGCAGTCTTCCATAGTGAGTTTTGGAATGCACCCAATCTCAGTTTAGCCTGGGTTGGTAATGGTTGAAGATCATGTGAAAACAAGGTTGTGGAGGGTTTCAAAAAGAAACAGGACAGTAATCTGAGTGGGACGGTATAACATGGTGACCTGCAAGAGCAGGGAACTGGACCCAGTGGCCTTCTTGGCCCCTTCCAGCTCTGCTATTCTGTGATTCTATAAGGGGAATCCACGTGCACAAGGGGAAGGAGCATGCAGTCCCACAGTCTGCTCCCAATTCACTAACCCCTATCAATCTGAAAGAGAGTCTTGCTGGAGGGGCAAGAAACCTTTTGTGGCACAGGGCTGAATTTCCATTTGGGAAGGGTCTTAGGATGGGGCAGCAAGTGGCAGGCTAAGGGCACAAGGGTATGGCTAATAACAAGGTAGGCAAAACTAAAGCTCAGTGGGCACAGCCCAGTGTCCAATTTGGACATTTCCTCATTAGCCTGACAAAGCACTACTCAATTCTCTGCGTGTCTGCTTGGTAGTTCACCCCAGTGCAGCAGCGTTCAGGCATGCAAAGCAGTTAGGTGCTCATTTTTAAATACTTCACTCTTTCAAATATTTTACATTTTAAAGGCATTCTAAAGGAAGAGTAATTAATATGCATTGCTTTTGGATCTGCTCTTATCTTGGATTATTGGTCAGAAATAAAGAGTGGCAATTTCCTGCCAGGGCTGGAGAAAGTAGGGCAGGGCCTCTGAAAGAAGTTTGAGGGCCAGATGGGGAACTCTGGTGGGCTGGAGTTTCCCCATTCATGCCTGCAGGCTTTCCTTAGCTGTGAGAAAACGCATGGAGGACACTGCTCATGGACTGAACTGTAATATCCCTTAATGCCTTGGGAGCTGAAGCCAGGTCTGTTCATCAATCAAATTAATGGAGGGTAAAGTTACGGTTTTATAGCTGCAGTTTCTGGGAAAGACCTGTGTCATCTCAGCAATGGACATCCCATGCAGGACTACGGAAAGTGATGCTGCGGGCACACCGCCAAGCTTGGTGTTGGCAAGATGAATGGATAGATCTCACCATGGATGACATCCGGAGGCTGGAGGAGGAGACGGCACGCATGCTGGCTCAGAAGATGGCAACGTGCGTGGAGCCTGAAACAGGCCCTGCGGTACCCAGTCCTGAACACCCAGCCGAGATGGGTGGCCATGAGAAACAGGACCGAGTCGACACCCTGAGGGCTCCTGATGCCTCTCCAGACGATCCATTTGCCAAGCAGTGGTCAACATCCTCTCGCTCTTCATACTCTTCTCAGCATGGTGGTGGGTAATCCCTGCAGCAGGCACGAATGACAGGCCGCCCTGCAGCGGGGGGTGGGGGGGAGCGCCTCACGCGTCTTTTCCTGCTCCTTGCATAAGTGCCACTGGAGGTCCATGCCGGTGGTGAAGAGCCACCACTGGTTTCCTGACCACAGATCAGCCTAGCTTTATGCTGGGTTAGCTGATTCCCATATTGGGGGTCAGGATGGATCTTCCTGTAGAAAGTGGACTGGATAGTAACCCCAGAAGGTGTTTGCTTTCCCTGAGGCACATTAGGAATACTTTATCAAAATATCATTGAATTGTTTGGTCATTTTTCTGGTGTTATAGTGTTTACATGTGTACATTTGAGAGACGGATGGTTAGGGGCAACTATTGGATAGTGTCCATTATGGTAGCACACCTTTTGTTCGTCACCTCTCCTTTGCCACTCCCCCCTTTGTTGTTATGTGCCAACAAGGTGTCTCTGATTTATGGCGGCCCTGTGAAGGAATACCCCCCAGAACGCCCTGGCCTGGACAGCCCCACTCAGCGCTTAGCGTTATGTCTTCCTTGACGGAATCAGTCCTTCTCATATTTGGTCCCCCCGTTCTTAGAAAAATAGCACAGGAGTGTATGGGGATTTACCATATGAACACATGTCATCTTTGAAATGTATGGGGGAACAGTGGCAGGAGAAGTGCAGAAGTTACCTTGCGAAATTGGTTACTCTGGCACTTGTTTTCAGTCTGGTTAGTCAATTTCAACACTCATTTCTCTTATATGAGAGGAAGCTGCTGCAATCAGAAAAGAGTGAAACTGCAAAAAGCAAGCTCCAGATGGAAAGGCTTCCCCTTCTTATCTGTACAAAAGTAGGCTCCTGATTCAGAAGGTCACTGTTGCAACGAGGGAGAAGCCATTCCAGTGGCTCTTTGCACAGCCTATGAGAAGAAGCTGACTGTGGCTTGTAGGGAGAGGGCTTTTGTAGGTGCTTCTGGTCAAGCCTTTTATTATGCAATTGCCCTGCCTCAGACACAGAATTTTGTGGGTATGTGTGTGTTGAAATAACAGTTTCCATGTGTAAATCCCTCTTTCTTCACCCCACACTGCCTCACCCATCATTTTTCTTACCAGAAAGTCATTAAGGGGGGAAAGATGAAATAGCTGTGCAGTGCCTTTTCATGATTGCTGCTAAGAGGCATTTGTCTGGAAGCATCCCTATTTATTCTCATATGGGAATTCTGGGAGTGAAGGAGGTTTGCGTCCTGTCTGAGGTGACTCTCTGCTTCCTGCTGGCATCCTCGGAAAGAGTTCTGTAAAAATCGTTGTCCTGATCCTTCTGTGCTTGATGCGTCTCTCCACAGCTGCAGTGTCTCCCCACAGCCTATCAGAGTGGCGGATGCAAAACATTGCGCGGGACTCTGAGAACAGTTCTGAGGAGGAATTCTTTGATGCGCATGGTATGTACTGCTGAACAGAGGAGCATTGTGTGTGTGCATCTGAGAGGCCTGAGAGTTGAAAGGTCCCCGGTGGGTGCCTGTAGCTGATGGTTCTGGCAGCTGCTACTCCAGGCGTGCAGAGCCCGGCTTTCAGGGGCCTGTATATTATCTTGAGTACCGGAGGGAGTATACTTCTGTGTACCAGTTGCTAGAGAACACAAACATGAGGGTCCTGTTGTGATTAAGTCCTACGTGTGAGTTTCCCACAGGTCCCTGGTGGGCTACTGTGTGAACAGAATGCTGGACTTGTTAGGCTTCTGATCTAATCCAGCAAAGCCCTTCTTTTGGTAAAATGTGAGCTTTTGAATGTATAATGTTCCACATTTGTAGGAAATCTAGGAAGCTGCCTCATACTGAATCATATTACTGGTTCTTTTAACTCAATATCATCTACATCAGAGTTCCACAGCCTGGTGCTCTCCAGATGTGTTGGGCAGTTCATATCGGCATGGCCATTGCTGCTCTGTGCTGGTGGGCAGAACCTCGCCAACATTTGGAGACAAGGTGTTCCCAGTCCTCCTTAGAGATACCAGAAATTGGACTTGGGGCATTCATTCTTCAGTTGTTGCTTAAAGATCACAGGTAGCAAGTTAGCAAGGACTCCTGCATGAGAATGCAGAGAGCTGTTGCCAGACAGAGTAGATGGTTCTGGACTAGATGGACACAACGCCTCCATCCTGTCCTTAAAGTCTGTCTCCTCTCTGTGACCTGTGGAGGTAACGGTGGTGGGTGTGGTGGCATGTTCTGTACTCTAGCCTTTCAATAACTTTTCCTTCCCCAGAGGATTTCTCAGACAGCGATGATGTTTTTGCCAAGGAAATAACAAAGTGGAACTCAAATGACTTTCTCGACACTCTGGAGCGACCCAGTGAGCCAGACGATGTTCTTGGTGAGAGAGCAGTTCACGTACCACATAGAAAGGGACTTTGGGTGTGTCCAGCTGTCTTTGATTGGGCCTTCTGGAATCTCTGCCAAGGGATTCCAAACTCGGTGACCACCCATCATAAATCCTGCAAATGGCATGCATTCTAAAAATAGGTCATGTTTGTCTAGATATATGTTTTTGGTTTCTTATGCTCAGTTCATACAATTTAATCATACAGTTAGAACATTTAGAAATGTGGTACATATTTAAAAGGATTTTCAATACCATGTTCTTATTTTTTCCCCTTTCAACTGTAAAAGGCAGAAGGATATGAAATGAAAATAGCTACATTCTTTTTTTCACTGCCCATTGGAATTCACATCTGGACTATGCCCATTTTCCACCCTTTTGGGAAAAACAGCCAGTGTATCTTGATATTTTTCTCTGGCACCAATGGTTCAGAAACTTGCTATTTAAAAAAGGCCAAAGGGCATGCTGTTTCCTTCTCTGTTCAGCATTAAGTTCCATCTTTTGCAGCCCAGCCATAGCCATGCAGATTCCTGGACTTCTCTGCTTACAGTTGCAAGAGCATTGGGTGATGGTGACAGAGCTCTGTCTGTCTCTGTCCCTTGTAGAATCACTGTGTGGTCCACTCTGCTTCCTTCCATCTTCAGCTGTGATTGTTATGTTTCATGCCCTGTCGCTGCTTTTCTTTCCTTCTCTTCCCAGTGCCACTCATTCATATATCTTATTTTTGCAGTTGATGCTGCTGGAGCAGCCAAGCAAGATAGTGATGTGATCACTGCACCTGGCCCACCAGAGGTGAGCAAGCCCATCTCCACCAGGCTTTCTTCCCACTTTCGTATTTTCAGAGCTGTGGTACAAAATCACAGGAAAGGACTTGTGCTTCTGGCGCTGGTGTTATCATCTCTTAAGCCACTGTTCCAGAATCCTGGCTGGACTGCATGATTTAATTCTTCTGTCCTGGCTTGAGTGATAACAGTCATAGAGTAGTAGAGTTGGAAGGGGCCGTCGGGTTCAACCACCTGCTCAATGCAGGACTCCAAGTTAAAGTGTCCCTCTCAGATGGCTGTCTAGCTGCATCTTGAATGCCTCTAGTGTGGGAGAGCCCACAACATCCCCAGGTCATGGGTTCCATTGTTGCACTGCTCTAATAGCCAGGAAGCGGTTTTCCTGCTCTCTGGCTGGAATCTGGCTTTCTCAAATTTGAACCCATTATTCCAAGTCTTTCACTCTGGGATGATCAAGAAGCGATCCTGTCTCCTCTTTGCAGCAGCCTTTCAAGTCCTTGTAGAGTGCTATCATATCACCCCTTACTCTTTTCTTCTTGAGGCTAAAGAGGCCCAGTTCTCTCAACCTCTCCTCACAGGACTTTGTTTCCAGTCCCTGGATCATCCTTCTGAACCCTTTTCAGTCTTGTCTGTGTGGTGTCCAGAACAGATCATTACAACTAGGCCCTCACTCTTGTCCATGTCTCTCTTCATAGGCTGGCTCAGAAGACCTCTCCAGGACATGCCGCATCCACGCGCTCTTCCTGATCCTCCACAGTGGCAACATCCTAGACCAGGGCGTGGGAGAGCCAGGCTCCAAACAGGCTGACGTGCACACGCTCACTGCCACCTTGGACTCAGTCACTCGTCTGCACTTCCCTGAGGCTCTGGGGCACATTGCGCTGCGCCTGGTGCCTTGCCCGCCTATCTGTGCAGCTGCCTACGCCCTCGTCTCTAAGTAGGAAGCCCGTGCTGTCAGGCAACAGGTGGGAGGGGGCAAGGCTGTGCCCCTCGCTGCCAGCCTAATGCAGAGCTTGGGGCGGTTGAGTGCGAAGGGGCTCAGCAAGAGCAGTGGCTTATGCTACACGCAGGCTCTGTGGGGGTCCATCCCCGGCATTTGGCAGGTGTAGGGCTGCTAAGGAAAGGGCCAGGTCTGTACTGTGAGGTAGTGTACCTGGAGGGAGAGAGAAGACAAGATCTTGAAAGGGATGGTGTGCAGCTGAGAGTGAGGACATGCCCAGGACAAGGAACTGTGTTTTGGGTGAAAGTTAGAGATCTTACATCAGGCATCGCACTTGATTATGCTGTTCCATAGTTTTGACTCTCCTCCCTGCAGCAGCTCAGGAGTTCTGGATATAGAAACATAGCAACAGAGTGAGTCAGAAGGGGTCTCACGGGCCATCCAGTCTGACCCCCGGGCTCTATGTTGGGGTGGAGTTTTTACCATCAGTCTCAGAATGACTGCTGGCCCAAGGGCAGTTCTTAAACTGTGTGCTGAGGGTTCCTCTTGTTTCCTGTGGCCTGACTGGCTGCTGGCTCCAAGCCAACGTCAAGGAGGCGAAGCACCTTCTTTGCTGAGGTTTGTTTAGGTGTCAGTGGACACTTGGTCTGAGCCACGTCCTGATCATTTTTCTCCTCTCCTTCTCCAGACTCAGCCCCTACAGCCATGATGGTGACAGTCTGTCCAGTAGCCAAGATCATATCCCACTGGCGGCTTTGCCCCTCCTGGCCACCTCTTCAGGCAGCTACCAAAATGCTGTTGCAACTGTCATTTCTCGTACCAACCAGGCCTATGCCAATTTCATCCACTCGCCTGATGGCATCGGCTTCTGTGGTCAGGTGAGGGGACTGGATATTCTCCGGGTTGACATGGAACAGAAGGAATCTGAAACATTGTGAGGAAAAATCCTGAATTTCTGAGGCCCAAATGCACCAGTATTTTAATCATTTTAGCCCGCATGTTGTGGTGGTCATTCTTTTTGTTCCAGTTGTATTTCTTCTGGTTCTGTTTCTTTTAAAACAAAATTAAACATCATCTTTGGAGAAAGGAAAGCCAGAATTCAGAAGATTTGGGACTATATATATGAGAGAGAGACATGGACCCTTTGAAACTCCACCCGGACTGCCTCCTGATTAATGAAGGCTTATCTGTGCCAGACATTTAAACCAATTTGACTCCCATGGCTTCCTCCAAGGAATGGCTGGGATTAGTAGTCTGGGGAAGGGTGAATGATCTCTACATTGTTATAAAACTCAAATATCCAAGGTTCCTTGGTCTGGAACTGTTAAACAATGCAGACATCGCTTGATGCCCATGTTGTGGATATCCCTACAATCCTAAGGGCCTGGCTTTGTTTTTATGATGCTAGCTCAGATTCTCGAGATTCCATATCAGACCATGTTAGAGGTTGTGCGCCATTCTATTGGGCAGCTGCAACACTGGAGTAGATCACCAGTGCTGGTCTTTGCTGAACAAAGACCTCTGTGGCATTCATAGCTCTAATTCCATGGTAGAATTTTTGAACAAGACACAGGGAGAGCTGGACCTGAAGCACAAGCTCCTGAGGATGCTCTTGGCTATTCCAGTCCACATTCTTAGTTCTAGGATGCAGAAAGTGCAGAAAGTGGATTCCACCTCTCTGGGCTTGCTTTAACAGTTGTTGGATTGTGTGCTTGCACTAATAAGACATGGGCTTCTTACCACTGTATGGGTTGCTAGCTATGTATTCATTTTTCTCCTTCCAGGTGCTGCTGATTGGGGACTGTGTTGGGGGAATCCTGGCCTTTGATGCCCTGTGCCATAGTCGGGCTGGCGGGTCAGGCAGTCGTGGGAGCAGCCGCCGTGGCAGCATGGTCAGTGGCTGAGCCAAGGGACAGGTCTCCTTGCACATGCCTTAAAATTCACCTCTTTTCTTTCCTGGGTGCTGAAAAAGGGAGGAAGGTTGGCAAAGTGGCTTTAAGGTTAGGGAGTAGTACAACTTTGATGTGAGAGCAACAGGGTTCTCTTTATTTGGCCGTAACAAGGGGCAACCTAAAGTTCCTTTCCAAGGCATTCTTGTTCTATGCCCAATCAGCCGCCCCCTGGATTTTTACCTGTTTGGAGGCCTAGTGAACTCTAGTACTAGAGAAGTTTGTGTCCTTTTAATAGGAGTAGTTTCACAATAGAGGCTTTTGAACCTCCTCAGTTGAGCTTGCTGCTCTGTCTTTTTTTTCAGAATGCTGATCTGCTTTCTCCAGAGACATCTGTGTCGCGAGATCCCCTGCTCGAGAGGGCGGAGGCATTTGGGGGGATGGGGCGTGCTAGCCCTGAGCCGGGAGCGCTCCCACCCACCCAGAAACGCAGTGACACTGCGGTGCAGGAGAACGACTCTTTGCAGCAGCAGCAGTTCTTGTCCAGGTGAAAGGAGGTGGGAGGAAAGGCTGCGAAGATGATTGACAGGAATGGTGGGTTACACTAGCACCCATCAGGCAGGGGAGATCAATCAATATTGCACTCTTTAGAGCACCGCTGTGTAATGCCTGCTTTTAGAGGAGGCCTTTCTTAGTAGATTCCTCCAACCCTATGGTGTACATGCAGAACGCACTGCTTCAGCCCCAGGGCATCCCCTTTAATCTGAAATTCTAACCCAGGGATGAGTACCAAAAATTCTGGATGGCTTCAGCTCCCTTCAATAGTAACCAACATAGCCCATGGTGAGGGCCACAAATTGTCCACCCTGTCCTATACTGTCGAGGCCATAATTACTGCTGTTTGACTAAGAAAACATTAGCAAGTGATAATTAAAATATAATCACTCTCAGCATTTAGAATAAATCATTCAGTGATTATAAATAGCCAAAACAGCCTTTCCGCAGCCTTCTAGATTTGTCGAACTACAACTCCAATTGCCAATGGCCATGGTGGTTGGAACAGTTGAGAGCTGCAGTTTATTACATATCATGGTCAGAAGGCTGTCTTATAACATTGAAAATTCACAAATATTTACTGACAACATTGCTAGCAAGGAATATTTATTCCCTTTATGTTTGAGTAGCTTCGAGACCAGGCTTTTATTACATGGCTCCCCTGTCTCATTGACAAAATTTTAGTGGGGATTTAGACTATGACATCTTCCACTTGTAAGCTTCCTATGTTTTACCACCCCTTCTTCCTTCTTCTTACTGCAAAAAAAATCCTTCAAGGGAAAAGGAAGAATAGGAGCATAATATCTGTTGATTGGTAGCTTGCTAGGTAATCCTTGTTAATCTTCATGTATATTCCCTTCACATGCATATATTTCTCCTCACAGTAGTTCTTGGATGCCTTTAACTTCCCACTGCTTCTAAATAATGCTGAAACTGCATCTGGGCATATATCCATATCCCAATAAATGAGATGCAACACGCAGAAAAGGGGAGGAAGGCGAAAGCTTGATAGAAATTAATGCAGTAGCTGGGGTCTGGCAGAAGCTGGCCTAGTGTCTGGTAACAGAAATCAACAAGCAAGGTGCTTGAGGTGAAAAGGTGCATAGATACAGTGCTTCAGGTTCACTACCTTTTTGAAGGTGACTCTGATATGGAGGAGGAAAGGTAGACAGCATGAGACATCTGTCCAGGCTGTGGTGCTTCAGTGAACTCCCCAGTTTTACATTGCGGGGGAGACAACATTCTCGGAACTTGGTTCTCACTTCGCTGCCTGCACTGCAAATGGCTGCCTAGGCACATCTTAGAGGTGCTCTTCATACCGGGAGTAGGCCTGGGGGGAGAGCAGTGGGCTGTTTCCCGGCATCAACAGAGTCTTTTCCTGCTGTCCCTAGCCTGCAGGCGAGCTTGCCTGCCGCAGAGGCAGAAGGAGATCCTCGCTGTAGCAGTAACTCCTCGTCCTCCATAGTAGAGACGTTTGAGGGGCCAAACACAGTTGGGAAACTGGAGTTCAAGGTGTCTGGCTTCTTCTTGTTTGGCTCACCCCTGGGGCTGGTCCTTGCCCTTCGCAAGACAGTGATGCCTGCCATGGATGGTAAGAACCCCTTTCTGCTCCCCTCCTGCCTACTACATCCCCCTTCCCTTCTCTCCTCCCTCTCCCTGCTTGGTTGTTGGTGCAGGCTTTTCACACAAACCTTCCCTTGCCTCTGCAGTGGCCCAGATGCGCCCGGCCTGCGAACAGATCTACAACCTGTTCCATGCAGCCGACCCCTGTGCCTCCCGCCTGGAGCCTCTGCTGGCCCAGCAGTTCCACGCCATGCCCCCCTTCAGCGTTCCCCGCTATCAGAAGTATCCACTAGGAGATGGTTCATCGGCTTCACTGGGTGAGAGGAAGTGCCGCAAGAGCCGGCCTTAGATGTCCTTGGGGACGTGTTGCTCCTGCCTCACCGGGGAAGAGGGATGCAGGAGGACACACTACATTACAGGAGTGCGATGTGGGGGTCCAGAGATGGAGGGACCTGTGAGACGTGTTGTTCAGTGGTCCTGTATTTCACTAGAGTTGCAGAGACATGGTTAGGTTTTCAGGCACTGCAGCACCACAGAACTGGCAGGGCTGGTTTTAAACATGAACCACAGAGGAGAAGAGAATACCAGCATTCTGTTAAGGCAGCCTTAGGCAAGCTGTTGCCTTGCAAAAGTTTTGGTGTATACCACCCATCATCCCTAGCTGGCATAGCTACTGGTGAGCAGTCATGGGAGCTGTAACCAAAGCAGCTGGAAGGCTGAAAGTTGTCCACCCCTGCATTTAGGAATAACAGGAGTCCTGCCTTCTGCTGTGCTGAGAATACCAGAAGGTGCAGCAGTCCCCATCACTGTGTTGTTGTGGCGTGAGAGCTGCAACTGCAGAAGGGGACCCCCAGGAGCCGGTCTTCACAGGCAGCAGAATGCAGGGTGGGGTGGGGGACACACGCACTGACATTTATTTATTTTCAGTATATGGTTCTTCAGCTGCAAAGGCTCCCAGAGTACCTTATGAAAACAAAAGACTTACAATCTGAAAGATATGATATGAAAGGAAAGGAGGAGGAGGGAAGAGGGAAACAAGCCCATTCAGGCATCATTTCTTAAAGGCACATAGTTGTTACAGTGACCCACTTGAACGGAAGCTGGGAGAATGGTGGAGCTGGTATCTCTGCAGAACAGGTGGCATCAGCCCCGCCGCCTCTCTCTCCTGCTGCTGCAGCCAGAAGAATGGCAGTTTTGCTCCCTTTGTTAAACACTCCCTACAAATAGAAATTTGGCCTAAATGGCAAATGGATGAGCCAGAACCTTTCTGTGCTTAAGTTCTATTAGCAGGTAATCTTATGCAGAGAGCATTAAAAATGTTCACTTGCTGCAATCTGAATGATAATGGTCCATTCTGCAACCACTTTATTTTGTTGCCTCATCCCCAACTTCAGAGTTGTTTTCCTGTGTTTCCATGTATGTGTGTAAGTGGTGTGTAAGCGGACCATTCAGCACCTGAAAGTGACAGGCTCACAGAGGAAGGAGGAAGAAGGCAGGAAGGGAATAGCCTCCCTGGTTCTTTTGGGGCTACAAACCAGAGAAGTTTGCTCTTGCCTTCCACTGACAGGAAAAAAATGTTCAGTCACATTTTCCCCTGCTTGGACTGATATTTGTGTTACCTTTTTATTCTTATTTCCTGTGGTGGTAATAGCAGCCAGGAGGGTGTGGGGAGCGGGGAGATTGAGAACAAGAGAGGGGTAGGTGCGTGACTATCGCAGGCTCACTCCTGCTTGCTTTTCTCCTTGGCCCAGCGGAGGCCTTGCAGAGTCACTCTTCCCTCTTCATGGACGAGATGGACCTGGTGACTCCCCCTACTCCGACAGGGGCATTCGGAGGCTTCTGGAGAGGGAACGAGGCCGTCACAAGCGAGAGCGCCGGGACCAGCACCAGCGAGGTGGTCAGGAGTGAGTGCCCCTTGCCTGCTTCTCCTCTCTCCACTTGTCTACACACAACCACAGTTCGTTAGGCATGCATATCTGTTGTTGCTAATGTGCGGCCATTTGGAGACAGTTGTTTTCCCTCTTTAGTATTTTAACAGTGTTGGGCTTTGTGTATGTGTGTTTTAAGTGAATGTTTTATGGGTTTTGCAGCAGTGATTATAGAGCTTGTACTCCTTTATTCATTAGAAACAGTAGGTTACACAGTGTTTTATATAACCATTTGACCAGTTGCATGCACAGTCACGTATAATCTAAGGACGTGTCTTTCCTGCACTCCTCGTATCTTAAAATATTGGTGAATAAAACTATTACTTCCCACTGAGAAGTTCATTATATATTGAACTGTCCTTTCTGAATATATTGACTGCAGAAAGGAACCTGAACAATGATGCTTGTGTCTACAAGTCAAATGAGTTCATTTTGGAAGGGTTGAATGTTTGTTGTGCTGCCAAGGAAATGTTTGACTGGCACAGCCAAATTCCGCAGTGATGCCATAGCTCGACCGTATTGTCCCCCTTTGTGTGGCTTGCATTCTGAAGTGCCTCTCAGGCCCCCGGCTCTCCCCAGCCACCAGGCTTGTTCCTCTCATGCTAATTCAAAGGAGAGCTGTGATACAGTGGATAAAGTGTAAAAGGACGCAGTCAGCATACAGCCTGGCCACTTCTGCTTAAGAGAATGTAAGGAGCTTAGTGAAATAAATGGAACTCATAAATTGAAACAAAAGAGTGGGTAGGTAAGGCTAAACCAGACAAGCTATTAAATGGGTGCTTGCATTCAATGTGTGGGCTTAAAAAAATAACTTCAGATCACCAGGGCTGGGGGGCTGTTAGTTTCCCCTTCAAGGAAGTGCCAGCTTCAGAGGATAGACCGCAGGAGGGGAGCAAAGCTTCAGATCTTTCTCCATGCTTGCTGCAATAGTTATTAGCAACCCCACCCCCCATTAGCAACCCCTCTTTGGATTTTAAAAACCTGCAGATTAAATACAAAATACATTTTAATGGAAAATCTAGTTTGAGCTTTGGGTGATTTTTTTTTTTTTTAGATTGCTTTGAGGCTCTTGTTTTGAAGGAGAGGTTGGCGTAGAAAGAGTTTGGCTTGGCAGGGCATGAAGGCCAGAGACTCTTCAATGGATTTTTACTTAGCTGGTGCTTTCCTTGGCTGTCCACGCAGTGTGCCTTCCATAAGAAGATGGGCCAGTTAGAGCATTAGGGAATAAAGCAGAGCCTGTGTTTGTGCAGCACTCGGGCGCAACGTGCTCGCTATCGGTGTGTTCTACCAGATGTTGCCTCTTCATCCCATGCCATGCACAACTATTGTCACATAATGTTTATTGACTCATGACACAAAGATGGAAACAAAGAAGATGGCGATCCCTGACTTAGTACTGCACCATTCACTTCTCTTTCGTTCCTGCATTTCAGATGTCGCATCGAAGCTTTCCACTTGAAATTCTTTTTTAAAAAACAACAAAGCTTAATGCCTCTTAATTAAGCTGTTGTGTACTTAGGCTGTATTTGTAAAGGATTGGCTGTTGTGGCAGATGTTGCTGCGTCCCTATTAATGCTTGCATTGTTTTTGTATGGCTTGTGCAAGGCTACATATATGAAATCCTGATGGGAAAAGCAGGTTTTTTCCATGTACTTTGCTTCTCTAAAATGAGATGACATTATTTATTTGGAAAAAAATGAAGATGGGAAAAGACACACATAATAAAAGCAGTCGAGTCATGCCATGGCATAGTTCACAGCTACAATGGGGAAAGGAATAGGGCAGATGTTTCCATGGGGCCACCCTAATACTGTGCCTCCTTCCTCCATGTCTAGTTCTGGATCGTTGGTGGGGAGCTAAGCGCATTGACTACTCTCTCTACTGTCCCGAGGCACTGACAGCCTTTCCCACCATCACCCTACCTCACCTTTTCCATGCCAGCTACTGGGAGAGTGCGGATGTGGCTGCCTTCATCCTGCGCCAGGTACGAGGGGGACTGCAGGTAAGGTGCGGGGTGGAAGAGGAAGCCTCACTGTGCTGGGGCTTGGGTGGCTGCTGTCGCTGTTCCGATGGAAATCTGGCAGTTGAGGGAGAGAAGGGAGGCACCCCACTCCCCTGCGGGTGGGACTGTGGCTCAGTGGTGGAGCGACACAAGCTCTGCATGCAGGATGTCCCTGGTCCAGTCCCCAGGACACGTCTCCGGGTTGGACCAGAAGAGCTCCTGCTTGGAACCCTGGGAAAGAGTTAGTGTCAGTCACTGTTGATGGAGCAAGACGGACCAGTGACAGGCAGCTTTCTATGCTCCTGATTCAAGCAAGGGGTGCAGGAGTTGGATGAGGGAGGCCACCCTGGGCCAGGAGCACCTCTAGAATAATGTGGGCTGAAACAGCCTCCATCCTATGTTTCCTGTCAGCACTACCAAGGACAATAAGCAGAGCACGGGAGGCACAGCAGCTATGCCTGCTAGGCTGTTTATACCCCTCAGGATGCTTTGTGCAAGCTTGAGGGGGATAAACAGAAGTGGAGGGTCAAGCATTTGCCCCCTTCGGTGTTGGCTGCATGTTACGCCTGGGGCTGAACGAGCAGGAGCCATGCCTTGGCTGATGTTCTGCGGCTGCAGGTGATCGAGACGGAGCAGCACCAAGTGACGGAGAATGAGGAGAGTTCCATCTACAGCCCAGCATTTCCCCGTGAGAAGTGGCAGCGCAAGCGCACGCAAGTGAAGATCCGGGTATGCCTTCCTGTCTTTTGTTAGGGTAGGGGCCTTGCCTGTCTCGCGTACATGGCTAAGGCTGGCACACTTTGGCTTTGGCCTTGGCAAGCACCTATGGACGGGCACATCCTATTGCTTTGCAGCTAATAACCTTCAGAGCGACTTTACAGATGTTACCTTACTGCCAGCCGTCCACTGATTCCTCTTGCTCTTTACTCCTCCAGCGCGTACCATTTCAAATTACAAACTGAAATGGATCCTTTTATGTACATGATGCATCATTTGCAAAGTGTGTTGGGAGCATAAAATTTGGAATCCCTTCCCGAACTTTAAGAATGGAGAAGACCGGATACGGGGGGGCGGGGGGGTGCCCCTTGATGTCATTTGGGGCCTCTTGACCACTTCGGCAGGCTCATGCTTTGAGCACGGCCACCAGGAACTCCCCAGACTCACTTCTTTCCCACTATGAAGAAGATGCAAGGAAAGCAAAGCTGCCACTTTCCAGTCTGCTTGCTATCTCTGATCTGAGACTGGAGATAAGGGAATTCTCGTGAATGTTGCTCACCCACTATTGGCAGATCAGAGAGCAGAGGTGGCAAGGGGATTCTTCTTGCCAATTTCCACCCCTTCGCCTCCAGCCTGGGAGCGTGGGTCTTGAGGAGAGGCAGAGGGCCCCACTGGGGGGCTCACCCTCTGCAAGCCAGATGGGCAGCCTTCATAGGCTTGGTTAGACCAGTGGGCCAGAGAGTGCCCTTCCTGATTTATAGGAACAATTAGCCACCATGTGGCAGGGTTTCTCTTTCTCCCTACCTTGCCAAAAATGCTTTCAGACACTGCACGAGTTTCTCCTAAGGAGTGGGAGCTGGCATAGTTGGATTCTCTGACCAGCTCAGTTGATGCCATTTTGTGGGCAGATCCATGTCCTATGGTTGAACGTTCTTGTTGATGGAGTGAGGTTATGACAACCTGTTGGCTCCTGCTCTTTCAGAACGTCACGGCAAACCACCGTGCTAGCGATGTCATTGTGTGTGAGGGGAGACCCCAAGTCCTCACTGGGCGCTTCATGTATGGTCCGCTGGATGTGGTGACTCTGACTGGGGAGAAGGTAACAAGGGCCTAGTTACACGGGGTCTGCCTGGGATAGTTGAACAAGTGAGGGTTGCGCAGGTGTGGATGTGAGCATGTGGTGTTTGGATGTGGGTGTGGATGTGAGCACGTGGCATTTGCTGTGTGTTCTGCCTCTTTTGCGTGGATGCGTAAGTGTTGTGTATATGTTCAGTCACGAAGAGCCAAGCCTGTTGGCGGGACTGTTCCCAGCCTCTTCCCTTTTTCAGTGGCTTTTCTGTTTTGGGAGGGGGAGGCACTTTGGGAGGGGGAGTCTGAGAGAGAGAGGCAGAGAACCACCGACTTGCAGCTGGGAGTGAGTGCGGCTGAGCAGAGCAGAGCAGAGCAGAGCATAGACATCAGCAGTGGGCAGATTGTGATTCAGTTGTGAAAACTTGCTTAGTTCTTGCTTCTGAGTGACTACAGC